TATATATATCCACCGTCTTAAAAGTTTCAAAGGTAAAGAGGGACTTATGATCTAACAACAATATGTTTTGCAAAGAGAGGTGGCCTCCGTTAGAGATGAAATTGTACGTGTTTATGGATTGAGCGAGATCCTATTCTAGACCGTTTTTTGAGTATTAAGCGTACTATGCTACTACTAGAGAGTCAAATTGAACGGCATTTTCACTTCCTTCTACTAATCCCATAGGCACCTTGGTGACGTCCAAATCAACTACTAAAAAGTAAATAGACTCGGTCGCATGCAATATAATTTACCCAACTATGAGTCGGATCGAATCCCATAGAGAACAATATGTAGGCGATTAGGAATGTAAGAGAATTATCACTTGTTATGCAGTGCCAAACACTTAGAATTGATTTGAGAAAATATTTATACCTAAATGCGGAAATGTAAACTAACCTAGAAAGCAAGTAAAATGATCAATGACTACAAGTATGGTTGCATCGGGAATTACACTCAAGTAACGATCCAATGTATTTCATGATTTAACAAATATGAGCGAGTTTATGCTAATTAGCCACGGGTAATAATTCTATATTAGCTTCTTCCGAAGACTAACAAGACTTCCTAATTGAATTATCCCTAAAACAATTAAGAGATTAAGCACCCCCGGATATGGCTACAAGTAGTTCAATCCTATCCCTAGGTAGAATCTATAAAATGAGGGTTAACGCCTCAAGTTCTTGTTAATTAATCTTTCCCAATCCCAAATTATCTTTTCCAAAATTAATTCGGAGTTAATGGGCGAGTCTTAGGGTTAGCTAATCCCTTTGGAAACATTAAAGAACAAGAATAATTAAAGAAACAACAACTCACTTCATAAATAAATGAAAATCATTCAATACATAAGCACAACAAGGTATTTAATCCACACTTTAAATATGAATATTTCCATAAACAAGATTCAAGTGTTGGAAATAAATACTACACACCTAAATATTCAATACAAAGCAAGGAAATGAAGAAATAAACATAAATGGGTAAGAAATCCTTAACCACAAGCTTGAAATCTTCAAAACCCAAGTGTGTGTGCAAAACCCTAGCTTCCACCTTGTTCTCTCTTGTTCTAGGAACTGAAAATATGTGCTCAAGATGTTCAGATATTGCCAAAGATGTCTTACAAATTAGCTGATTTGGGTATTAAAGGGTTTGGGGTCAAAAATGTGAAATTCCAGAACTGCCCAGTTTTCACGCCCAGTTTCTTCATCGCATTCGCGGTCAAGCCGATGCGTTCGCGAAGGCTTACTTTCCTCAGTCATCACATTCGCATTCACAATTTCGCGTTCGCGAAGATTCATGTTCTGCTACATCGCATTCGCGTTGTGCACTTCGCGTTCGCGAAGGTCTAGCTGCCTGCTTCTTCGCGTTCGCGAAGAGTAAACCACTGGGCAGTTTCTCATTGTCTATTTTAGCTCCTTTTTTACTTGTTTTTGCTTGGTTTCTTCACCATTACCTCTAAATCACATACAACCTGTAAAATAGAAGTAAATGACATTAAATACACGATTTTATCACTCAAACATAGCAAAAGTATAGGTTTAAAGACAAGATAAGTTGGTAAAATACCAACTTATCACACCTCCTTGGGCAAGGTACATTTCAAAACAAGAGGTCTAAGTTCAAGATATTCGTCATTAAAAAAGGTTAGATATTTGAGAGCTCTAACTTCTAATTAATGTCGCAACATTGACCAAAAGCTTAAGACTAAGGGTGGTATGTGTGCCGGTTAGGACCCGGCCCGGCCCAGGACCACAAGCCAAAATGGGCGGTAGGCCTAAACGATCCTAATCGGATAGGACCAGGACCGGGGGAGGTGGGCTGCGGTAGTGGGCCGGTCCCTTAGGCGAGGCCCGTGAGACCGGGACCGGTTGGGACCGGGACCGGCTGGTAACTGGCCGGTTCTAGCGGTCCTAAACGGGCCCAACGGCTAAAACTTTAAAAAAAAAACTGCCAAGATATAGCCGTTAGGGCATTTAAAATATAGTCGTTATTCTGCCAAAATAGCCGTAGGCTACTTATAAAATAGCCATTTAACCCAACTTTGTTTTAACCAAACTTTTTATAATTACACTTTTTCCTTATTTTCAACTATAAATACCCCCTCATTCTTTCATTTTTCTCACAAAATCATCAATCTCTCTCAATCTCTCTCTAATTTTCTTCTATAATTGCTTACTTTATTGTTGTAATTTGTGTTAAAAATTATGAAGTTGGTGAATTGAAGTATTCAAGTCTTCAACAATAATTAATTTCCAACAAGTTATTCGTCAAATCGGTAAACTCATTCCAACTCTTAAGTTTTAATATTATAGTTTTATTTTATTTTATTTTATTTACTTATATTGTTTGATTAATTAAGATGAATTTTTCGTTAAAAAAAATATTTAGTAAAACTAAAGGACAATCCAAGAGTGGTGAATCTAGTGTCCAATCTATTCCTCCTCCATTCCCTGGGCTCCCCTACCCAAACCCCATACCCGTCCTACACCTGCTGCTATTCTTGATAGTGATAATACTTTATTACAATTTACTGAGAGTCAATATTCAGTCAAGCAAGACTTCAACTCAGTGATTATAGAGCGTCTATGAAGGAGAGCTTGGAAAAATCAGTATTTTTCAGAGATTGGATCCATTCGGAACGAAGAAATTTTGGACTTGCTGAATCACAACCAGAGGTAGACGAAGCTTATGAAGAAATGCTTGTTGAACTTGCGGAGGATGCTGCTTCGCCCGGAAGAACAAGCTTCTTTTCCGCCACCACCAACGAAAATCTCTCCGAACCTTGAAGGCTTTATGAAATTTGTAAGAGATACCATGTAAATTAATATGTAACTTGCATTTTGATACATCTTGATTAGTTTCTTTTTCTTCTCAATAGTGGTATTAGCACCTTGTTTTGCTCATTCCATGGGAAGGAGGAAGACTAAGAAAGATATTGTCATGTTTTGTTAATGCTATAATAAAATTGTAACGCATTATTTTGAATATCTCTTTACAATTTTTTTTTGTTTAAATATGAACTAAAAAATTTAGGACACAATTCTATAATATCATTTACAAGGAATTGACTTAGATAAAAAAAATTTTAAAAAAATAGGAAGTATTAGTTGGGCCCACTTAGGCCCACATAGGCTCGGGATCAGCCCACTTAGCCCAGGACCATTAGATCGTGGTCCCAATCCCGGACTGGTTCCTACAAAAAGTCCCACGAAACTTGGGACCACTTAGGACCGGCCCACTAAGCCCATTTAGGACCGAGCCCGGCCCACATTACAGCCCTACTTAAGACAAGTTGTTCAACGTATTACACAAACTATTCGTCAATGATAAAATGGGCATCTGGGCTAATTAACGCATAACACAAAAACCTGATGAATAATGAGCCAACCCCCTACTCTTTTCCTCTTAAATACCATGCTTTGGTCCTTTAAAGAGTACTGTGACATGAACCATCACACGTTGCGCTCTTACCATGAGCTCGATTAGCATATTGGAATGCTTTAACATCAAAGTAAAGTACTAATTCCTTAATTACATCAATTTTGCAACAGCTGAAGCTCAAAACTTGTAAGCAGACAATAATGTAAAGTCTCATTCCAAAGACAACTAGAAAGATGATCCTATCAATGTGTCAACTAAGCAAAGCAAAACATTTTTAAAATTTGTTAACTTGGCATGACTTTAGAACACTGATTTTGATGTACAAGATAACAGAAGAAATCTGCAGATCCAAATACCAGCAATTGCAAATAAACCTATCAAATGAGACAAACTTCTGTTTTCAACTTCTACTTCAGAATGGTGTAAAGATTGGAACAGTTGCATTTATGAACTCACAAGTTTGACAAAACTTAATTTAACAAAGTCAAGAGAAAAAATGATTAAAAAACTAATGGAATACAAAATAGCCGGGCTCCGTAAGCAGCCCCATTGCCTCGTGCAAATATGGCATATAATTTACCATGTCGCAAAATCTTTGTCTAATGAACACACCTTGGGAAAGTATACAACTCATATAAAATCACCTGTTCTTGATCGTTACAGCGATGAAAACTGCAATATAGTTGCTCTACTTCACTGGGCATAAATGGAGAAGGCCATTGCCAGGAAAAGTGAGTTTGAGCATATTCCATCTGCGCAGTTACATCACTCCTCCAAGCAAAGAGTTGAGCTTTACTGGAGCAGATTTTTGCAGGCTTCAATATCAGGTGCCTGTGAATCTAATACTCCTTGACCCGTAGGGCTAGAGGTAATAACTCCGGTGATGGCTACAAACAAGTCCTTCTGGTATAGATCATCTGTTACCTTCTTCAGGATCTCATGCACCAACTTGAAGTCTACCGCCCCTGTCAAAACTAGCTTTGCAACTATCTCCCCGAAATTTGCTGGTGCTTTTGGCAAATCCATTGCAAGATCATCCAACAGAGAAGCAAAGTTCACGCATCCAGTGGCCAAGTCTATAGCAGTAAAAACCTTCTTAGCAAACAAGTATTCAAGAAGTTGTGCAACTGGTTCGACACGGGGAGGGCTTTTGTCCAGTCCAAGTGATATGGTTTCTTTGACAACCTCGGGGTAGAAGTCAGGGGATTTGAGTTCCTCAATGCACTGCAAAGCTTCATCCAAAAGCCGAACATTAAAATATTCCTCCAAAAGAGAAACTGTTTTTCTTTTCAGTTCCTCTGGATTTGACCTTGCAGCTGGAGCCTGAGGTTTCTCAGCAACAGGGGAAACAGTAGTAGCTGGAGACGGCCTAACCGGTTCAGGAACTTGTGATACAGGCTCCATTGCGGAGGCATAGCCTGATGGCCGGACGGGAGGTACACCACTGCCTTGCAAGAGGGCGCTACTCCGGCCACTAATGACGCCACCGCTCCCCTGAGGCAGCTGCCTTGTGTTCAAGGAGGGCGACTTGCCGATCAATGGTGGCTGAACACCTCTTGGCATCGACCGTGACCTTTGAACCTCCCAGTTGTCATTATCCATTCCCGGCATCCCAGGCATCTTCCTTACACCTGGCATTCCTGGCATCATACCACCAGCGCCAGGTCGGTAGCCACCAGCGCCCAAATTTCCTTGAGCACCTGAAGGAATGGCACGAGCATTTCTAATGCTTGCTGTAGCACCAGGACGCAACCCCATAGACTTCTCTGCTTCCGAGTGAATCTCATTGATGGTTTTGGCTTTCACCTGTAAGAAAAGAAGTTAATAATACATCATGAGAAAGAAGTGTAGGACTTCACCAGTCAACTACTACATAAACAAATGGAGTATCACCTCTTCCCGCCTAGGGACCCAGTTATTGGCACGTAAATCCAGCACATCACGCACCATAAACCTTAGTCGTGATGCCAGCTGGGGGTTTGTTGATAATTCCTTCAATCGGTTAAAATAAATATCATTGATGTGCCTTGATTTTTGCTTCTCATCAAGCTGCTTACCGATGGTGTTGAAGAACTGACATATAGCTTCAACGTTCTCTTCTTCCGGACAGCTTTTGGGATCTTGTCCTAATAGTTCCTGTTAACAAGAGATCAGGAAGAAAAAAATTCCCACACAATTGATATGTTGAAGGCATTTAAGAGAGCAGGGAGCAAGAAGAATAAGTTAATATAAAACGATCAACCTGAACGATGTGATGAACAATCTTTTCAGGAACCATCTTCTGCTTCAAAAGCTCCCCAATAAGACGAATATTTCCAAGAGTGCGCAATTTGATCAATCTTTCTTTGTCTTTGCGTTCTGACTCCTGCTCCGGAGCAGTCATTTGTCTCACTTCTTCCCTCAGTTGGTCAGCACCTTCAAATGCCTCTTGGCAATTATTCAAAAGAATTCGCTTAAACGTGATTTCTTTTCCGCCAGGTTCATCAGATGGAAATGGAGGAAGCTTCTCATTGAGATCAGAACACAGCTGTGCATACATCGGGCAAAAGGTGGGTTCCAATACGGCTTTGTCAAATATCAAGGAGATCACACCCTGGAATATAGAGAAGAGAATACACATCAGTTATCCGAGGCATACGAAGGAAAACGAGACAGACAATAGAGAGAAGCATGGGCATCTGAGAGCTAGGAGGACCTTTAGAATGTCGGCACTTGTTATCCCTGAATCTATTAATTGACCTTTGAGAAGATCAAATTTCTCCGGGGTCAACTTGTTGAGTATTCTGCAAGATCAATATAATAGTTACACCAAATCATGAATAGAATTTGCAATACTATGATCAACATCTGAAACCAAGAACGTTGTGAATACTAACACTACGACCAAAGCAATATTGCAACATTTATTTTTAAGTAATAATATTGCAACCTTATTTTATTAGCAGTAAGTAGTTCCACAGGCTAGTGATGGTTTATACAAATATGGTAATGTGGTCTAAGTAGCAACAATATCCTTTGCATCTGAGAAAAGGTCGGAAAGAAGAGCAAAACACAGTTTCCCTACTGTCAAGATGAGGCAAAAAAATAGATACAAATTACAACACGGAACATTGTTAAGAGCATTAGCAAGAGCTTCAAGAAAGATTACCCCTTGACTGTTTTCAACACACGATCTTTGTCAGAAAGTGTGCCCCTTCGGACTGACCATGGCACCTCCGCTTTGATCAGTGTAGGAGCAGGACCTCCCTGGTGCAAAAACAATTGAAGGATTTCGGAGATCAGATGTAAAGAGATAGTTCACCATCAGGCAAAGTTGTGTTGATTTGAACTTCGAAAAGACCATAGAAGAAACCATTGCAAGGAACAAGCTTAACAACAAAAACAACAGAGAGAGACATTATGCAACAGAAAAAGAGATACAGTATCTCTTAGGTTATTCTAATTGATGTTCCAAATATGTCAGTGAGAAAATACAACTACTCCCTCCGTTCACTTTTAATTGTCCACTTTTGACTTTGCACTCCCTTTAAGAAAAAAGTAATGAAGTCTGTATGTTACAAGTTTACCCATAATAATGATAACTTTTTCAAAAGTCTTGAGAAATGATTTGGGAAATGAGTAGTTAATGAGAAGGGTAAAACAGTAAAAAAAATACTTTTGTCTTAATAGTATAGTGGACAAGTAAAAGTGAAAATGTATTTTTAATATAGTGTACAAGTAAAAGTGAACGGGGGAGTATGTACTAGTACACCTATTTATTACATGTAACAAAGTGCAAAGCAGTCCATGCTCCATAAGGAAGTTCCCAGACTACCATGAGCAAGGGATGTGATAATCAAGTCCTCCCTCCGCCCCAATTTATGTGGCAGTATTTTGACTCGGCATGGAGTTTAATAAAAAAGGAAGTCTTTTGAAACTTGTGGTCTAAAATAAACCATAATATTTGTGTGGTTGTAAATTAATCATTAAGGGAAAAGCAGGAATTCTAAAGATAAATTGTTTCTAAATAAGGAAATGTGACATTCTTTTTGGGACTGACTACAAAGGAAAGAGTGCCATATAAATTGGAACGAAGGGAGTATATTATTCTTCATTAGGATGTCTTTTCTTTTGGTGCCGAAGGCTTTTAGGAAGCACGGAAAACTGAACTTGCATTTGGCAGCACAAAAGCAGGAATACATAAACAGAAGTTCTTTAAATCAGTAATAAAGTTCTCCAAAATGCGCAATTTCAGAAAACCTATCGTGAGGAAATGAATTACCCCTTGGTTGGCAGATATGTGAGCTCTTCCAAACTGTGAACTGAGCTGCTCTTGCCGATTATACTGGTTTGCTTCTTGCTGTCTAGAGTCGAATCGGCCACCAAATTCCCTGTTTTCTCGAAGTGCTTCCCATGACCTTTCTTCTATGGGGGCAGATTGTGTTGACCTATTACGCCAGTCACGATTGTCTGGTTCAGAATAACGACCCTGAGACTGAACCTGCACCTATAGAATGATAAATTACATTGGACAATCAGGCAACAGAAAGTGAACACCGCAAGAAAGTGACACAGAAAATATACAACTAGAGAAAAATAACGAATCGGAGCTATTATTTAGCTTGCAAAATTACTAAAAGCACCAAATATTCCTTTTTCCCCCCTTTTGCGGTGAGGAAGGAAGAAATGCCAGCATAATAATCAAAAGAGGGAAAATAGAACTATTTTATATTGAGTCTAATATCAAGTCCAGCAGAAACTCACACTGCTATCCACACGACCTCGAGAGGCATCTTCACCAAACAGTTCAGCTTCAACTTCTTGTTTGATTTGTAGAATAACCTCAGGTAACTGTTGGGTAACCACCTAGAAAACAATAATTACCACAATCAAGGATAAGCATATAAATCATGATATATTCACCATGATATCTTCTTTAATTTCTTTTCTTTTTGGGCAGCTGGAAATGGGAGAGGATCTAAAAGATGGAAAAAGACTCAATTCCCAATAACAATCATCGCCTCAAAATCCATACATATATTAGTAGAAAAGACCAGTTTTGTTTTTTTCCATATTTATTTACAGAAAACTAATGATCAATAAACACCATCATTAAACATTTTTCAAACATAGATATTACCTCCCTCAGTTGCAGGAGCTGATCTCGAGTATACCGAACGTGTCCATGGCTCTCAAAACGATCTCCAGTCTACAATGATGAAGGTGAGTTAGGACAAAGAGAACCCTGAGAATAGGAAGTTCTTAAAATGAATTTCAAGCAAAAAAATAAAATAAAGCATTTTGAACTACCAACACTATTCAACAGACAAAAGGTCCCACTTTGCTTAGTCTTCAGTTCTCTTAATGTTTCTAACTTTCTACCATACACTCCCGTCTAACAATGCAAAAGCCAAGCAGCATATGTACCACTGTATGAATTCACATTCCAAAGAAAAGCATGCTATAAAGTGATGAACCTCAATGACAAAATAGCACCTATGAACAGCATGACTAGCTTTTGCATGGCAAAAGCGAATAAGACTTCCAATGTCAGTAGGGTTCTTTATGGCGGCCTGATAATTCTTAAGTGCCCGCCTAAAGCCTACTAATGATTCTCCGTCCATATTTACAGCAGATACGCAACTAAAGTGAGCTGCTAAGAATTCGGACGTTAACAAGAATGTATAATTGATATATTATGCACGCAAAACTCAACCATTGTACCTATAACTATGTACTTATCTTTCTCCTTCATACTACATGTATTCCTGCACCAAAAGAAGAAACAAAAAGGGGAAAAACCACTATGCACACCAGTGACAAGATAGTATGCATCAAGCACTAGGCTACCACGAGTCCAGGAAATCTAAGTCTTCAATTCAGTCCAGATATCTTTATCAGAAGACGACCCGTACAACAGCATGTCTACCATTAAAAGCATCTGTGTTTTGCTTAGACTTTGATCAGCACAAACCACAGATCTCATCAGAAACCACCCCATTCACCAACTCGTATACCAATACAAACATTCACAACTTTGCTTATAGACTTAACAAACAGTAACACATACAGATTCTTTACAGGATGCCACACAAATGTTCTATAACGGGAACACAAAGAAGCACTCAATCTTTCTATTGAGAAAAACTAAAGTTTTATAGGCATAATCCATCATTAAAATAGAAATATGCCAATCAATGTATTCAAGTCCAACAGCATGCCACTCGATACTCTCTCCCCCCAACCTGAGGGAAACAGAAGTATTCACCAGGCAGCAAACAACAGATATCACCCGTATTGTCAAGCAAAACAAATCAGAAAGAGAGCAAGTAAAAGCCAAGGACTGTATTTGCAGCCAAAGCATACATAATTCCTAAATTCAATCAATCAACTATGCTTCAATCCTGAACTAGTTGGAATCAGAAATATGAATCCCTTATATTTCTAACTTTCTACCATCACCATATAATCACATCTAACAATGCAAAAGCCAAGGAAGAACATGTACCACTATATGAATTTACATTCCAACGAAAAGCATGTTATAAGGTGATGAACCCAAATGGAGAAAGGAGCTCCTATGAATAGCATGACTAGCTTTTGCATGGCCAATAACAAATAGGACTTTCAGTGTTAGTAGGGTTCTTTATGGGCAGTCTGATAACTCTTAGGTGCCCACCTAAAGCCTACTGATGATTCTCCGTCCATATTTACAGCAGATACACACAACTAAAGTGAGCTGCCAAGAATCAGGACGTTTAAAAGAATGTATAATTGAACGATTATGCACACAGACACTTCTATTGTAGCTATAACTATATGGTTATCTTTCACACTTTTTTGCTTATAGACTTTAATCACCACAAACCAGAGACTTTAACAGAAAACCGTCCAATTCACCAACACGTGTACCAATACAAACGTTCGCAACTTTACTTATAGACTCAACAAACACATACATGTTCTTGCATACGATGCCACACAATTTTATACAGCATAATAAGAAAAATTCGGCTTTTTTCATGAAAAGAAAAGAAACTGATTTTTATAGACATAATTGGATAATGCATCAGAGTTATGGAAATATGTCAATCCATGTATTCAAGTCTAAAGCATGTAACTTGCTACTCTATCCCCCCAACCTGAGGGAAAGCATTCAGCAGGAAGCAAATAACAGATATCACCAATATTGTCAAGCCAAAAGATCAAATATGCAAACAAAGCTATGCATACATAATTCTCATTTTCAATCAATCAATGAATCAAATATGCCTCAATCCTCAGCTAGTTGGGGTCAGCTATATGAAACCCCCCCCCCACCCCCCCCAAGTATCTATTCCACTAAGTTCAGGTCCATTTCATTCCAACACTTAATTACTCGTCTACTAAAACAAATTAAGGGTTCTCTATTGCAGAATCACAAGCTACATAGGAAAAGATAAGATTTTTCACATGGGAAATAACATAACAGCAGCAAAAGGTAATCAACACATTCAATAAACAAATAAAAATGCTAGAAATATCAAGAAAAAGCATAACCACAAAGTAAAAAGACATCCTAATATCAATCAACAAACCACTCAACTATGCTCCAATCCTGAACAAGTTAGGGTTGGCCATATGAATCCTCGGTATTTTTCCACCCTATACAAGTCCATGTCATCCCAACACTCAATAATTAGGGGTTAAAGCAGAATCACCAGCTACATAGGAAAAGATTACATTTTTCACAAGGGAAATACCAAAATCGTAATAAAAGGTAAATCACCACATTGAATGAACAAACAAAAAAGTATAAAATACCAAGTAAAAGCACATCCATAAAGTGAAAAAAAAAATCCTAATTTCAATCAACTATGCTTCAATCCTGAACTAGCTGGGGTTGGACATATGAATCGACAGTATTTATTCCACAATATTCAGGCCCATTTCATTTCAACCCTCAATAATTTCTCTTGAAATCACAAGTTACATAGGAAAAGATTAGAAATTTTTACATGGGAAATAGCCAAACAACAATAAAAGGTAAATCACACATTCAATAAGCAAATAAAAAAGCTAAAGAAACCATAGAAAAAGCAGACCCACAAAGCAAAAACACAAGTTTCATTGGAAAGGACAAAAATTTCTAAAAAATAGCATTAAAAGGCAAATCAACACATCAAAAAAACAAATAAAAACAGCAAAATAAAACCAAGAAAAAGCAAACCCACAAAGTAAAAAGATCTATAGATCTGAAAAATAGAAAAAAGATTCAACCTTGAAAGAACCAACATGTGGTCGAAGAAGATCAGAATTGGTAGTAGATGAGGTTTCAAAGCGAGGGCCCACAAGCACTCTGCTTCTGTTACCACCACCACCACCTGGTCTCAAACTTATCACCGTCTGATCAGCCTGCATACCTCAATTCTCCACCGTCCGATTAATTCGAACACACAAAAAACAAAAACTAGCAAATCTGAAAGAAAACGAATCGAGAAATAGTGATAGATACAGATGTATGTGTATCTATCTATCTAAATAAAGATAGAGATATAAAGATTAGATTTTTGGAGAGAGAGAAAGTGAATTTTTTTAGAGAGAGAGAGAGAGAGAGATTGTTTTTTTTTTCCTCTCTCTACTGAGGAAGAGGAGTGGGGAAGGGAAAGAGAGGCGTTTGTGAAGAGGGAGAGGAAGGGAAAAAAAACCCTTTTGGGATAGGTTTGGTATTACAAGATTTGTTCTATGGGTATTTTGGGTATTATATTGTTTTTATTAAACCTTTTTATTATAGTAAGTGAGATATTTACTATAATTGCACTATACAAATAGACACCCCTTTTTGTTTTGGTTTCTCATTTAACTAGTATCGTACCCGCGCGTTGCGCGAAAAATATTAAATATTATTTTTTATAAGAAAATATTACTTGAAAAATATGATAGAAACAGAGAAGTATTCAAATACTATTAGTTGTTGAACATATAAATGCATTAGATATTCATACATTGAAGTCATAAGAAAACACACATATCCACTATAAAGATGCTATTAAGGAAGATAATGAAACTTTTGATTATCGGTCATCTTCAGATTCTAAGACATATATATTACCTCTGTAAGAAAGGCAATATTTGGTACACATTAACAAAGTTCATTTTAAATGCAAAGGACAAAATACTCTTTTGACCTGGTATCAAAGCATCAAGCATTGAGGGACTAAATCTTTGATTGTTAGTTATTAAAAGCAGAATAAGATACATGTTAACACAATATATCACATGTTTTGAGAGGTGCGACTAAGCCTACAATTATTTTAATGCTTCATCATCATCGTCGCTCAAGAAATTGAAAAACAATATTGAGGGAATATTTTACTTCACATGAGATAAGCTCCAAGATTATTAACTTAATACCACTTGCCACAACATGAGGTCCTTAACCTTTTAGAACTTTTGAAAAAATTAATTGTAACTGCTCAATGCACATTTCAGAATGACAATCTGAAATGGCAGATTGTGGCCACTTAAACTTCTCTTACATTTGAAAAGAAGTCACCTCATTCCAAGAGTTGAAGAGAATAAACCTTGAGTACACATAAATTTTTGAATTCTTCTTTGCACCTCTATGTGTCCGTGGAATTCATACAATATCATCTCCTAATGAACCTGGACGTTGGAGAAGGATTCATCATGAATGTACTTGATTGTCTTGCACTTGGTGATTGAGAAGACAAATTTTTGCTCCATGTGAGGAATAATATGTTTAGACGCTAGATCTTGGATGAATTTCTCCATCTACTCAATCCAACACATATGTAAATAATCACTTACATCAAGGAGAAAGATGTTAATAACCAGCTATCCTACGAAAGTACCTCAAAGTTCAGTCATATAAGGTTCAGGAACAAATACCCCATCCTAGTCATTTGAGCAAAGGAAGCAGCGTAACTGGTTGCCATGTGAAATATCAAATTTTTGTCGGATAGAAGAATATAAATTTTATTTACTTCATCTAATAGACAAAGATAATAAATCTAATAAATATCATGTGAAAAAGATAAACTCAGGAAGATTATCTTACAAAAGCAACCCACAAATTTTCATGTTCTCTAGACACATTCTTAGAGGAGTTGATACACAGAACAACAATTAGCACTAAATGTATTCCCCATCTCTGCCAAGATTTTGGTTGCTCTTAAATAATCAAATTTGCGTTCGTGGAATCCCTACAGTATCATCTACTAATGAACATGGACGTTGAAGAAGAATTCATCGTGAACCTGGATGATTGTCTTGCGTTTGGTGGTAGTATTCACCAGGTATTGCTGCCATCTGAATACATTCAAAAGCTTATTCGATTTGGAGAAGCAAATGATAGAGTAAGGGAGCCGACCATATCTGATATGTGCAGAAATTATATTTTGAAAAAAAAAACGGATATTATTAAATATGAAGATTCACTATAGGTAAATTATACCAATTGCTAAAGTTTGTTCAAAATTAGAGTTATGAAGAACAGTTTATGAAGACTTTGAGTAGAGCAACTTCCTAGACCCTTTAGGCTATGGGAACCAAGAAATATCATATCAGTCTTACCAAGTACTTCAGCATTACTGAACAAAATGTTAATCTCGTGCATTTTTTTGTGCCGATGCTCTGAAGGTGCCCAGCAGGTTCAATAGGTTCTACCTCTATGCACTCGTGAACTTTTGACATCTCTTGAAAACGGCATAGCAAGAATGACGACATTGTCTGCATCGTTGTCACTGACTAACAAACATGTTACCTATAAGTTTGCTTTATTCACTTGTGTTTTCTGCCTATTACATCTAACGTTCACTGTCAAGCGCCTAAAATCTTTAATTAAGGTTGGATCGTGAAGCTACAACTACGAAACTAAATAAACAAATATAACTTCCAGAGTTCACTACACCGAGATATAATATTTAAATGAAATATGTACGCTGCTCTTTAATCCTATGCATGATGGTAGAATCTACAAATATATCTATCAAGTGAGGACCGAAAAATTATTGATATTTTTTTTTATTGTTGCTGATGTTAGCTTATGACTGCCATGTCTTCTAAAGAGTTCCATTAATTGTTGTACAACATATGTAGTAAAAAGCATGTATAAGGTGAATTGCACAAACAAATACAACATTTATACCCTTACAAACCTAGATTTAAACTTAATAGATTGCGGCAAAGTAGAATTTATCCATAGTCTGGAAGCATACCAACAGCTACGCACCGAGTAGTTACCTATGTATAAAAAAAAATTTGAAATTATAAAATTTTCTGAAACTAAATTTCAAACGTAGATGTAAAATATGTAAACCTCAAAAAATTTGATCTTTCATAAGTAGGTAAAACAACAATCAAAGGTTCATCTATAGATCCATTTAAGTGAGGTTGAATTTCATCCACAAGTTCATCCCATAAGGTTGTCGAAATCCTGTTCCTCCTATATGTTTCAAGGTAATTGTTCATAAAAAAAAGTTATATATATATATATATACATATATATATATATATATATATATATATATATATATATATATATATATATATATAGTATAGTTTGTATTTGTGAATGACTTACTACTCATCTTCGAGTTCAACATTCATAAAGACACTTTTGTTATCTCCTTGCTTGTAGGTATGAACAGCTTCATAGATCACAACCTAACCAATCACATCTACAAATATAAAAGTTAGTTGCAAAGTTTACAACTAATATTAAAATAAAATGAAAGTGAAGAATTACCGGATAATTCTGCCTGATCCACATGATATTGATTCGTTAGCTTATCAAAAGGACAAAGGTTAAAGATTATCATATGAAATGAAGAACCAATTGTTACTTCAACAACTGAGCTCTATGTAAATGTCAGCCTCAAATTATATGTCATAGTCTTTAATTCAAGTTATTTGGCCCGACAACAAAGAAGTTCATGCGATATAAGGCGAGTTCTTGTATCTTGGTCCTAAAGAACTTAATTACATACTTTCCTATTGAGGCATGTATAAGATCACCCTAGAAAGGTACATTCATTATTAGGATGTATCATATTGCTATGTGAGACAGCCATATATAACATTTGTAACGACCCGACCGGTCGTTTTGAGAATTAACGCCCCGATCCCCTGTTAACTGCTTCTCCCATGTCTTTTTCTGCTATTGTGATTTGCCGGGATGATACATTGTGAGTTTCGGAGTGTTTTGGGACACTTAGTCCCTAAATGAGAGCTTAAGTCTTAGAATTTGGACTGTAGTCAGAATGGTAAGAAGATGGCTCCGGAATGGAGTTCTGTCCATGTTAGCTCCGTTGGGTGATTTTGGGCTTATGGGCGTGTCCGGATTGTGTTTTTGAGGTCTGTAGCTCATTTAGGCTTGAAATAGCGAAAGTCGAATTTTTGAAGTTTTGTGCCGATAGTGGAAATTTATATATCGGGGTCGGAATCTAATTCCAGAAGTTGGAGTAGGTCCGTAGTGCTGAATATGACTTGTGTGCAAAATTTGAGGTCAATGGGCATAGTTTCGTCGGGTTCGGCATCGGTTGCAGAATTTTGAAATATCAAGTTCATTAAGTTTGGATTGGAGGGTGATTCGTGATTTTAGCATTGTTTGATGTGATTTGAAGGCTCGACTAACTACGTATGGTGTTTTAGGATTGGTTGGTATGTTTGGTTGAGGTCCCGGGGGCCTCGGGTGTGTTTCGGGTGCTTAACGGATTGGTTTGGGATTTATGCCTTTGCTTAAGTTGGATGCACCTATTGTTTTCGCACCTGCAGATATTGGGCCGCAGGTGCGGTGCCGCTGAAGCGGTTAAGGAGCCGCAGAAGCGGATATGGACCTTGGTAGCTGAGACCGCAGGTGCGACTGGGGATCGCAGAAGCGGGTTCGCGGATGTGGCCCCAGCCCAGTTAAGTGGCTTTCACACCTGCGATGATTCTTCCGCAGGTGGGGGATCGCAGATGCGGTCCTATGAGCGCAGAAGCAGAAATCGCTGGGAAGAAAACGGGATTTCAAGGGTTTGAAGTATCCCGGGAGATCCCCTATACATTTACGTTTGGGACTACAGGACAGTATCCCGGGAGATCCCCTGTTGCTATCTCTGTGTACTGAGTTGTGGTTTTTCTGTGATTTCATTTTGTTGACTGTTAGTATTTAATCTTACTACGATATTTCTTACCGTTTTACTTTATTATATATATAAACCAGTAGGGCTCGAACCTGATCTCGTCACTACTTGACCGAGGTTAGGCTTGGCACTTACTGGGTACCGCTGCGGTGTACGCATGCCCTTTCCTACACATATTTTTCGTGTGCAGATCCAAGATCATCGTACCAGCCTCATCACTAGTTGCAGTCGTTGCTGCCTGTTGGAGACTTCAAGGTACATCTACCCGCGCCCGCAGATCCTCGGAGTCCCCCTCTATCCTCTTATGTTCATTTCTCTTTCTTTCTATAGAGATGATGTATAGAACAGCTAGAACATTTTAGTAGCTTGTGACTTGCGAGTTTCCGGGTTTTTTGAATTATTTGTTACATTTTTTGAGGTGTTGATTGTATATGCTGAGTGGAGTTTAGTTGCTTAATGGATAGTTTTGTTGCCAATAGTTAATATTCATACTTTTGATTTCATTTCTGCAATGTGTTAGGCTTACCTAGTCGTAGAG